CGGGATCATGCACAGGTCAGCACATCAGCCTCAAAGTCAATGCAGAGGAGTAGTTCAGGAGGAAAGCCTGGATAACAGAAATAAAACAAGGCCGACAGGCCGACTGATGCAACCGCATCACCCAGAAAGCAAAACTCACCTACTGCAACGAAACCCTCTTTTCTGCAGCACCATGAAACTTAGCGGGGAAAAAAGGAAATGATGGAAGCACCATTTATTGGCGCCAGCGTATCCCCTGAGCTGTCAGTAAATACTTACTCCCCTCGGAAGAGGATGTTTCTGTATTTATGGGTTTTAATAGGAAGAGCGTGATCATCATATTGACCGGCCTGCTCGCATCCTAATGGCCACCTTAAATCTCGGGAAACACTGTATTCTGGGCTGAGTTACAGGCAAATTAACATGAAGAGGGAGGCTGCTTCTGCCGGAAGGGAGGAAAACAATCGCCTGAATGATTGTTGGACATTTAGAATGACTTGGGAGGGGAGGCGGGGGGAACGAGAGCAAGAGAAGAGGCAATAAACGATTTTCATCAGCGGCAGAGAGAGAATGAGGTGAGAGGGTGGGCGGAATCCACCAGGCTCGCTTTCCATTATAGGAGTCATAAAATACTTTTAATGACCAAATATTGGGCTCTTTGAAAGATCATATTACAAGCGTTATGGTGCCACACACTGTGGGGCGGACGGATTGTGCGGTGGCTCCGTGTGCGTCTGTATCAGGCTCTCTTTCCCTGTGTGGACTGCATGTGTGAATGTGACTGGGTGTCAGCTGATTTACTGTAAATCCATCACTACTGAAGGTGTGCACATGCAGACATGTACGGTGTGCATAGGGGAAGGACAGTAGCACATTTAAGGCAGCTCAGAACTGTGTTGCAGAAATATCATTTCCTTTTTGTTCCCTCATCTGTGTAACATGAGTAATGACTGTCTTACCTTACTTTTAAAGAGGTCATATTAGGCCGTTTGGGGATTTTCCTCTCCTGTAGTGTGTTATATAGGTTTTTATACACGTAAGTGGTCCGCACAAGCTTGAATCCCTGTGTTCCCTCCAGAGGTATTTTTTCTTCCCCCCCTGCCTGAAATGCCTCCATTGGACTCCTTTGTTTACTACTGTAACATAGTGACATCACTATGTAACACGTGCTGTTTTATTGGCTATTGCTCCAACATATTGTGATAATGTTAAGGGGCGGGACATTTCCCGACCGATCCCTAAGCAGTTGACCAATCACAACAGAGCCGGCCAGCTGACCAATCAGAGCAGACTGGGCTTTGGGAGAGCATGACATGTCCTCTCTAATGTATCGTCATAAAATGGTTTGCATGATATCCCACAAAAAGTTATTCCTTGACAAATATACAGCAACATGTGTTGCTTGTTACAAACATTCACAAATATCTTCACAAAAAACAACTTGGCTAGGTTTAAGAATAAAATGTGGTTGTGTTTGAATAATCCATGGAAGTCACATTAGGGTTACGGAGACAGATGTATCCTGTGTGACATCAGTTTACATCTGGTGTCACACAGGATACAAACAGCTGTCTCTAGGTCAAAGTGTTGTGTCTTAGGACCAACCCATCCTCCGCAAAGTCCACACTATGAGACCTTTATCACGCTTTAAGCTTCTCAGTTCACACAAAATATTGTATATGAAATTAAGATCTTGGATTTAGATTTATCCTGTTTCATTTTTGAAAATAGTTTTCTCCTTGTGTCTTGTCTGGTTTTACCTCTTGCCTTTGTGTTTTCCCGCCTACGTGATTGTGTGATTCTATTAGCCTGCTGCTCTTGTGTTTTTGCAAACACTCCCCAGCTGTGTCTTGTCTCTGATCAGTCCTTGGTCTATAACGTCAGAAAGTAGAACTAAAAAGTGCAGTTGTATTTCCCAGAGCCCAAGGTTGTGTTTTAAAATGACTGGTTTTGCCCAGCCTTCAATTCTAAACCAAAATATGTTAAAATAAGAATCATAAAAAGTCAAAACCAATTGATTTTAGCTTTCAAAATTCTAAAGATTTGCTTTTTCCCCCCTTTTTTTTATGACTGCATATTCATTATATTTTGGTTTCAAATCAAGCTAATAGATGATGCCACCCATCTCTGGGAAATTGCATCAAGTACTGGAGATAACCATTTTTAGACAAAAACAAAAAGCTGGAAAATAAATACATAAATCTTAAGCCTGTAGCTGCATAACTCCTCGTTACAGCAGGATACTGATTTTAGACTACAATAGGTCATTGGTACAGTAGTTGATTAATGGTTTGGGTAAGAAATGCACTTAATTGGAAAGAAACAACAATTAATGGATAAAACCACGGTGAAAATAATCAGGTGCACGGGATGTTTTATTCTTCTGATGAACTCTAATTATAGTGACCCTATGATTTAAAAGATACATTGCTAAATCTATCAATGTGTACCTAGTGCCAATAAGGAATTGATCAATTGAGCAGGCAAATTGGAAGATGCCTCCATCCAGACAGACTTAGCTTTTAGACTGAACTTTAATACAAAGCTACTCGCTCAAAGAAAGCAAAATAAATCAGATACAGTAGATAGAATCCAGTTATAAGCTCCAAGGCTTTCTCCTGCTTGATCAAATGACCGTCACTATCAATCAATCACTACCATCCTGACAGAGGAAGTCATTGCTGGTGAACAGAGAAAATTGTGCCTTGAAGATTTGAGTAATTTAATTTGTAAAAGTCATCGTGTTACCCTATAATACGATATGCAGATTCAGAGGGGGTTGTAATTTACAAAGGGGTCGAACCTTTATGAAATTGCCACCCCTCCCGATTAACCACACACACACACACACACACACACACACACACACACACTAATGCAGTTTCTTGTTTCGCTTCTGGCTCTGCTGCTCCTGCCTCAGAGGAAGTTGAGACGTATGAAAATAAAGCTCAGATGATATCCCGTTACAAAGAAATGCTCCTCGCACTTTGGCTGATTATTCGTCTCCGTAACAGGAGCTGTCAGGATTTAAATATCCTTGACAAAGCTTCTTGCAGAAAAAAAAAGGCGAGTGAGGAATCGTCATCCACAGAATAGTGGACACACTATATGAAGCGCATTTTCAAGACACTCGGAGGCACGCTTGACAAACTGCGGCGCTGAACGTAAATATAGCAGGGAGGGCAGACAGAAAATAACTGTGAAAGAGAGCTGTGTTTGTGGAAGTTCAGGGTTTGTGCAAAATGGAAACTGTGAAAAGGAACACTAATAGAAGACCCTAAGCAGCCTTAAGTTATATTATATCCTGTTATGTTACACTGAACAAACTGAAACTTTAATCAAATATATTGTGTCAACAGATTTCACACAACTGTTTTAGGTTAGTTGAAAGCAATAATATCAAGTTGACCTCGTATTTTTTATTTAAACGTAATAGTATTGCTTTCAATTAACCTTTTGTGAAATCTGTTGACATAATACATTTAATTAAAGCCAACATTTTATTTTGTTCACTGTACAGTTTAAATTAAAAAAAGAAAACAAAGAAAAACTGCTGATGTGTAAAATGGTCAAACAATTGATTGCAGTATTAATCAGAACCAGGTTTTGAAGTTGTTGAGTTGACATGGTTTCATCATCTGTTTTTGTGTGTCCATTTTCATTTTGAACTGTCATGTCTGTTTTAACTTCATGTCTTGTGGTTTCCAGTATATGTCTGCCCAACCCTGATTACGTTGGTATGTTTGTGCTTAGTTCTGTTAGTATTTAAATTCATGGTTTTCTGTTAGTCTTTGTCAGATCCTTGTTGTTCATGCATCGGAAAGTATTGCTCTATTTTGCCTTGCTTGTAATAAATGGTGTTTTTTGTTGGGTGCTTTGTTGTACTGCATTTGGGTCCAGCCCAACCTGATTTCCATGGAAATGTACAGTTACAGTAAAAGGGGACTATTTGGATGGATTGTGTTTAATCTGGATATAGAACACAGAGAAGCTAAGAGATCAAATAATGCTTGGCTTAAAAACAGAAGCAACTGACATGCTGCCAAACGTTGGAGATGGTATGGATTGGAACTGGATGCATTTTTGTGTTGTATGTGCCTTGTTTACTGATTTTATTTGTACACGTTTGGCCATGTACGGGGGACTGTTCTGATCCCTGGCAGAAACTGAATGTCATTTAAAAACCCTTTACTTCAGCAATTCTGTCACTTACTATTTTTCTCTACAGTACATTATAGAAAGTAAAAATGACTCATTCACTTCCATACTGTGTTTTGCCAAAACAATCAAAAGTTCCATACTCTGCAACATCCTATTGAGAGTGGATTATAATACAAGAGGAAAGGGAATGATAACAAATGGATGGATTTCATAGTGTCTACCAATGCAGGTAGAACTGAAATAAATGATTGTAATGCCATTTCAGTTGTTCAATGATACTTTCTCCGATTGTCCTTCTGTTTCTTTTTAACGGAGTTATGCTTTTGAAAAAATGATTTGATATCGAGTCTGATTTGTAGAGGGTTTTTTGATATAGTTAGTCTATGTAGAGACCTCCTATTTTCATCACGAACAAAATATGGGCCTGAGCATAAAATGTACAGTTAAGGTAAATGTGTGATGTAGCTGTTTTGGGCCGTTTAGATAAATAATCCTAAGTATTGGTAAACCCATTTTTAGCTAATTCAAAAACATACAATAGGCCAAGAGAAGTTATAAGAAGAAACAGGTGACTGATAGGAATATAAAAAATACAACAAAAATAAAATAAGGAGAAATCAAAGAGAAAAAATGTATCCAATGGGGCCTTTGCCTGTTGCAGTTTTATTTGTTAATGAATGCATTTATTTATAAATGTCTTTATTTATCCATTCCTATTATTTTGCTTTTCTTTTACTTGATTGTTTGACCTAGCTTTATAACTTAAACCAACCCAAAATGATATCTAAATCCATTCAAACTTAGAGATACCACAAAACAAGAAAAAAGCACAGACTAATGCGTAATCCAACATGTCTTACCTTTCTGGCTGTCGATGATAAAGTTGCCCTCCTCGTTTCCTGTGTTGATCTTATACGTGATCCCGTCCCCGTCAGGGTCCTTCGCCAGCACCGTGGCAACAAGCGTGTTGGGACCGGCATCCTCTGAGACGAAGGTCCGGTATCTGATTAAAAAAACAAACATTGAAAGACACATCAGCACCTCGCCTGCACTCCTAAGGCCTTTCACTGAGGGTGAGAATGAAAGACATTCAAGTTTTGTCATAGTTTCCAATGGTTTCCATCTAATTCAATGTCCACCATTAGCTCAGTGCGTCAGCAAAAATATGCTAAGAAACAACCAAAGCCATAAACAGATCATCCAAATGCACCGAATATCTTCTGTCACTCTTAGGGGTGTAACGGTATCCGTAGTCGTCCCGTACCGTCACGGTTCGGACGTCACGGTTCGGCACACGCAGTCACACGACGAATACGCCTTTTTTTTATGAGTGGGAAAAAAGTCTGTCATTCAGGGCAGTATCCACTACACTATATATAATCCAGGGGGCGGTATTGCATCTAAAAGCTGTTTGCCAGCCGCCCTTAAACAACAAATGAAGAACAAGAAGAAACACAACAACAAAACGAACAAAATACAAGAAGAAGAAAAGTTAGTATGGCGATTTCAGATAACACACAGGAGCTAGAACCCACCTGCTTCTTTTAAATCAGCTGTGTGGGAACATTTCGGGTTCCCTGTGGACTACAATAACGATGGAGTGTGCGAGTGGTGGATCGGACGAGGACGGTGTGTCGCCGTTGTTCTACAGTGGTGCGGTATGCTAATGGTAACACACGCCAAACATGCTAAATCATATCAGAAGGCATCAGCCAGATTTGCCAATCACCGGAGCCCGGCAAAAGACAACAGCAGTTCAACAGCTGATCCCCGCTGTTTTTAAGAAGCCAAGAGACATGAAAGCCGTGAGACCAAAATAAATAACGGAAGCTTTTGGCATATGTTTTTCAACGACTTTGCGCTCTTGAAACACTTTCTTATTATTTATGATGTAATATTTTCAAGACATTCTTTTTAGTTTTACAGCTTGATGAAACCTTTTTGTTTGACATCAGCCATTATAGATAATATGGCCATCTGAGTGTACTGTGTATGGTTTGTTTTTAACTGTTTAATACAGTTAATTATTCAAAAAAGAGTTCTTTATTTTTAAACTGAAACTTGCACTACTGTTCAATCATAAATAACAACAAACCTGGAATTATGCATTTGGGACTTTTTTTTGCTTTTTCTTGTTGTACCGAACCATACCGAACCGTGACCTCCAAACCGAGGTACGAACCGAACCGTGACTTCTGTGAACCGTTACACCCCTAGTCACTCTACAATCATAACATCCATAGTGTCATTAGTTATTCAGTTATTCAAGGGACCTTGGTATTTCAAATCCAAGGTCGGCAAACGAACATGAACAGGGTTAGCTTTATACTTTTTTAAGAAAGAATAAGTTGAAATAAACATGAAAAAATGTGGATAAAAAAGATAAATGCTTTTGATCTGTTCTAAAGGAAATGGTGCTTTGACAGAGCATATCTACAGAGAAATAACCAAAAGAAAACAATAAATATTGAAATGATATGACTATATAGTCATTATGTTTGTAATATAACTTTATTCTCATAGTATTAGCACTTCTCAGATATGTGAGAGGTGCTTTAAAAGTGCAAAACGTTTTTGAACATGAGAAGAAATCATTCTGAAACACGTGAGATTTCTAAGTCCTGGGGTTAACACATGTCTTTAAATTCATTCATTTGGCCATCATTGAAGAGGATAGGTGCCACATGAATGTTAAAAGAGGTTATTTGCACAAATAAAAGACAAAAAGAGGAGGGAGGTGAAAATGATGTCTACATGTGTGTTGACTTCAGGGATGACATTGAATGACAAGCGTCGATTTACAGGATGGTAAATATTTGAATGCAATACATAATGCACGAGAGCCAGAATGCAATATATGATATTATATTTTCTAAGTGTCCCCTGTAACCTCAATCATGTTTTTTCTCCTAATTAAAGACGTTTCCACCTTAAACTGATGCATACAAAAATAATGCAGGAAATGGAGTGTTGAACTGAATCCATGCTGGGTGATGCGTCTTCAATTTAAGACTTTAAATGTCTGTTGGAAACTGTCAGCTCTCTAAATGCAGATGTGTTCATCAGTGGCCCTCTACCGCCAGTCAGAAGAGGAGTGGAGAGATTCAGCAGATTGTTTGCACTGAACACGTGGCTTTCAACTGTCTGTACTGACCATTCTGTCCATTTTATTGACAACTTTAACTTTTTCTGGGACCGCAGACATCTTTTCAAGGCAAATGGAGTTTGCCTGAACAAGTCAGGAGTGAAATTGTTTATCTCTAACATATTCAACTGCCTGCGTCATCAATCTGTTCCCTCTGCCAAGGACAAGCAACAAGAGGAATCAAAACAAGAGAAAGACACAACACATCGCTCAGAAAACCTTGAAAATCTATCACTGCACCCGCCTGAGGAATGTCTTGATTGTGGGAGACAAATGGAGGAGTCTCCACCGCCCTTCACCCCCCCTATCACCTCTCAGGATACTCTTCCTTCACCCCACAGCTCTCTCTACTCTCTGTTCACCCTTTCACCCTCCTGGAGATTGCTGAACACATGAAGGAGATAGAGGGTTGGCACCGATTCCTTCCTGGAGTTCAATAACCAAACTAGGGCGATACGCAGGGCTGGCAGCATGTCCTTTACCCCCGCTCCTCAACGACGGCCATCAAAATCACCGAAGCAGAGACGCGCACCACCTCCCCTGTCTCCGTCACCGTGCCTACGTCAACCACCTCCTCCCCCTGGACGCACAACAACACCCCCGTCACCATGCCTACCACAATCATTCGGACCAAAACGTCCTCCCCCCCTTCAAGACTGCTGTCTCCGAAGCCTGATAAGGATGTGTGTGTAAAAAACGCAAACACTGACTGATATATGCTGGGTCCAGGCTCATGGGCGTATGGCACTCTCAACTCTTTCCAGGACATGCCGGGGTCCTGCCTGCCAGTAGCTTTGCCGATATCTGTGTTGATAGGTAATAGATTAAGAGTGGTGAATCAGTTTAGACACAGGAAGCGCTCAAAAGTTTGTGTGAGTGTATCTAATTTAGCAGTGATTCCATGTCAGCCACAGCTTGTTACAAAAAACATGACTGATAGTGTGTTCAACAAACTTAAACTAGCTTTATTAAATGTCAGGTCTTTGGCAGGTAAAACATTTTTAATCAATGATTTTATCACTGAGCACAATCTCGATTTTATGTTTTTAACGGAAACATGGATTGAACAAAATAACAGTGCAGCTGTTCTTATCGAATCAACACCTCCCAACTTTAGTTTTATGAGTCAGGAAATAATGCATAAGAGAGGAGGTGGAGTTGCTATTTTGTTCAATGATTCCCTTCAATGCAGGAAGACATCTTATGGGAACTTTGCTTCTTTTGAATATGTGGCCCTTCAGCTGAAATGCTCCTCTCGAGCTCTGTTCCTAAATATCTATAGACCACCCAAATACTGTGCAAGCTTTTTTGATGACTTTACTGAACTGCTGTCTATAGTGTGTATTGACTTTGACCGTCTAGTCATTGTTGGTGATTTTAACATCCATGTTGACAACCCCCAGGACAGAGGGGCTAAAGAACTGTTTTGTGTTCTTGATAACTATGGACTGACTCAGCATGTGACGGAGCCCACGCACAATAAGGGGCACACTCTGGACTTAATTATCTCAAAGGGTCTGAATATCTCTGAGGTTGTGATGACTGATGTTGCACTCTCTGATCATTCCTGTGTTTTCTTTGAGAACTCTATTTCTGTTCACAAAAATGTTCAAAAAGAGGTAACCAAAAAGCGATATTTAACTGAAAATACTAGGGAAATGTTTACTCAGAATTTCTCTTCCACACTTGCCCCTGCTAACATCTCAGTAAATGAGCTAGTAGATCATTTTAATTCAAAAACTAAAAATGTTATAGATGCCATTGCTCCAACTAAGGTAAAGGAAGTGACTGGGAAGAAAATATCTCCATGGAGAAAGGCCATGACCGTGAGAACAGAGAAAAAAGAGTGTCGAAAAGCTGAACGCAGGTGGCGAAAAACAAATCTCCAGGTGCACTTTGAAATCTATAAAGAGAGACTTGGCCTTTATAATTTGGAATTGAAATTTGCCCGACAGTCTTTCTTCTCTGATATCATTGCCAAAAACAAAAACAACGCACGTGCCTTGCTTGCTACCGTCGACAGACTAACTAACCCCCCAGTGTCAGTAGCCTCTGAATTTCTATCGACCAGGGCGTGCAATGATTTTGCCTCCTTCTTCACTGACAAAATTCAGAAAATCAGACAAGCAGTCAGTGCCTCTGCATCAGGTACAGCAAATGTTTTGTGTCTGTGTCCACCTAATATGAATTCAAACACCATGACACAATTCCATCAGATTAATGATAAAAACCTAGAGGACATCATACAACTTCTGAAATCCTCCTCCTGCTGCCTTGATATTATTCCAACAGGGTTTTTCAAAAATGTTTTTCCTTGCATGGCCTCAGATCTACTTCATATAGTAAACAAGTCTCTTCACTCAGGTGTTTTTCCACAGGCCCTGAAAACTGCAGTCATTAAACCACTCTTAAAAAAGCATAATCTAGATGCTTCAGTAATGAACAATTACAGGCCCATATCAAACCTCCCATTTCTAGGTAAAATCATTGAAAAAGTATTCTTTAAACAGTTGAGTAATTTCTTGCATTTAAAAAGCTGTTTTGATGTGTTCCAGTCAGGATTTCGTCCAAACCACAGCACTGAGACTGCTCTTGTAAAGGTCTTTAATGACATCCACTTAAACACAGACAGTGGCAGAACTTCAGTGTTAGTATTATTAGATCTCAGTGCTGCGTTTGACACTGTTGACCACAGCATATTACTAGACCGACTGGAAAACTGGGTGGGACTTTCGGAAACAGTTCTAAATTGGTTTGAATCCTACTTAAAGGACAGAAACAACTTTGTTTCTATAGGTAATTACACATCTGAGTTGACAAATATGACATGTGGGGTTCCTCAAGGCTCCATCTTGGGG